AGATCTTATTACAGGTGGTTGGAAAGGCAGCTACGCGCAAACAAAACGACTACTTGTTAACTATACGTTGTTGTATTTTTATGTCTTTTTCTTTGTGATGATTCTATGTGTTCCACCTGAGGGGCCCTGAATGGGTATTTGCATATGTAAACCAGTGTCAGAAATATCTCCATGGTCCATCGCTTGCATACCAGACTTTACATATGCAGGTTCTTCCGAGGCTGTGACCTCCAGTGTTATCGTATGCAGTCTATATAACCTGGTTATCACCTAATAAGCTGTAGTAGATTTACTTCCAGCAATAATAAGGTATGTAGATACGGTGTGTTGTTTATACCAAACCATGATCTAAGTGGTTACGGTGTTGTTCTCCATACACATGTGCGTAGAATTGTTTATGGTGTATTTATAAATATACATTCGTACAAACAAAATTCACTTAATATATATCCCAATAGATAAAGGACAATGACCTGATTTGGATATCGCCTTACGTTCATAACAACTCATAACAATGTGCTGCACACGAAAACCTGCAGTAGAAGCAGTGACCGCCCATGAGTTAAAACCCCAATGCAACCTATAGATAGGTTAATGCATTCAATCGGGCCATCGGTAGTGCGGAGTGTCACGCCATGTTCGTATTGTAATATTATGCAAGTTAACAATCGTCGTCCACACAGACGTTACCTACGTATAATTATACTATTTAACAAAGTCCACGTTGAAAGCACTGATATTGAATGTCTGTGGTAAGTTCGTGTATCAAAAGTCACTGACCTATTTGGTGGTGGTGGTGCTTATTTGCATAACTATGTATAGAGTAGAGGCAGGTCATAGTGCAATTAACATTCTTTTGTTGTCCCAGGTTTCTACAATAGCATTCCATGTTATCGGTGCCTCGGTTTAACATATAATAAACTACTTAAAAATAAACAGAATCAACAGCAACCTAATTCAATCTGCCGTATATGGTAAAACTACAATGACTTATTCTTGTGTTCTGTGAAAGCGTGATGATATCGTAATCTCGGTTAAAGGTGTATTTCTAGTTTGGAAATTTGAAGAATCCCATCCAGAACAAGCTAAACATAGAAAATGTGTGGAAATGACGTTGTTTTATTATTGTTTTAGATATTCTGCCATCAGAACGTCGTTGAAAGTGGCAATGTTACTGGCCTATAAACTGGTTCGTTCGCCCTCGCCAGCAAATTTTCCGTCATGACCCATTCATCGGGGTTGTTACTCGTTTTCCACATGACGTGTGAAACTTGGCAATTTACGCGAACTGTATAATAGACGAATACCGCAATAATTGGAGAAGTAATAAACAGATTTATAATTTTCGAACTGCTTCTCAATTTAGTGAAACAGAGCATTGCTATGACTGAACACCGTCCCTTGAGGGACGGTGGATTGAACCATAGCACCATTCCAAATTGGCGTAAACAACGATTACATGGAATTGGTCGACATCAGTTACGTCGCTCGTAAATGCTGGTGATGTACAAGAGTAAGGGGGTGGTTCACCTAGACACAGTCCGACAAAATGCTCCGTGTTTTACAGCTAAATATAACTAGCTCATTCAGAATGTGAGGTCAAGGTCACCCAGTGCTTAATAATAAGTATATTGCATTCTTATAATAGTTTCCATTGGTTGAAAGCGATAACATGTATGAAAAGGAAAATATCCATAAACACCATAACTACATTTGCCGAATCTGGGTAACAGGGTGGTTAGGTTTCATGCAGAACGACCGTCTCTGTTAGCCGATGTCATAATTTAACACGCATTGGCTAGCAAAGACATACACTGAGACAGCTCTCATTGATAGTCTGTACTACCCATCGTGCATTCAGTATATATGTACAGAGATGGAGTAAGGGCAACCACAGACATTACTCAACGCGTACAACACAATTATTCAGTGAAACATTTACGTCACGGTCATAAATCACACAAAGCATCCTGCACCATTACTGTCACTAAGCAATAAATCTGGACGTATAAGCACAGAAGCTTCTCTACAACGAATGACGAATGTTTCTTACAAACAGACAATGTTTTTGTTTTATGACGAATCATATCCTGTTGTTGTATAAAATACAATTATTTAAACTTTTTCAAAGTGTTTAGATACATGTATTCGACCAATTTAAATCTCTTTATTGGTTTTCTTTTATTTTTAATTTACAGACAAACATAAACAATGGAAAAGGGCGTCGAGTCAAGTTCAGGTGCAACACGCGTCATGCTATGGACTTATCCACGGACACGATCATTGTCGGTAGAGTTTGCCATGGCAACGCAGCCAAACATCGCGGTACATCATGAACTATACTATACTGCGTATTTATTCGGTGGTAATGTTGACGACGACGAAAACGACAGTGACATGGGGTTCACATTCAATGAAGTGAAAAAACGCTTAGAAGTTGTGGACGAAGGAAAATCTGTTGTGTTTGCCAAAGACATGGCATACAGCTTAGAAGGTAACTTTCATAATTTGCCCAAGGGATTTCGACACTCTTTTCTAATCAGAAACCCGGAGAAGTCGATTGCTTCTCTCTACAACGTGTTCTGTGAAACAGAATCACGTCGACCAGAGGACCGAGCTGTGCAGATGTCGGGCGTCGGCGAACTCTATGAATTGTATATGCTTGTGAAGACGAAACAAAAGTCAACTCCCCTTATTATTGACTCAGACGACCTGATCCGATTTCCTGGCCAGATTCTGCGCAAGTACTGCGATAAAGTTGGAATAAAGTACAATGATACTATGTTGTCATGGAAACGCGGCAAACAGAAAGTGGCACATTGGCCAGAACCGTTAAAAGATGCAGCATTCATGTACGAAGACGCTGTGAACAGTTCTGGTTTTGATTACAACTTGTCGTCGCTGGGGACGCTAGACACGTCCAAGCTTCCACAGTCGGTGATAACCTGCATGGAGTCGTGCAAACCACTCTATCTTGATATGTGGGAGAACAGAATCAAGCCCGACACGGTGGAAACAGATATTTGATTTTCAAATCGCCGTCTATGTTTGTATGGAGTACAGTTACTAGTTTACGTATGTAACTTGACAAGGTGTGAACACTCTTTTTCGAAGACTTGGGGACTTGGGGTTGAAGATGCTGTATATTGAATATCTGTTTCCTTTACTGAGTTTTGTTTTTTTATTGTTCAAGTAAGACTCCTTCTTACTGCTTAATACATATTCTTATACACAAATGCATATCACATGGACCATAACTCAATTGTATATTACGTAATTATTAGTCGAGATTCGAAATGCGCCTGGCCACTGAAGGAGCAAATGCGCCCCGTAGTATGTCACGATGAAATTTAGTGTGTAGTGGATGTGCACTTACAATGACTAGGTGGACATGCGAAATGTATCCATATACGTATACGTATACAAATGTAATCTAGAATACAGAATGATAGAAAATGGTATGGTATTGCTAGAAAAGAAACATTTTCCTGATAACCAAACTGAATCACGTGGATTAGCGTTAATTATTAATAAATGAAGATTGGTACAGCTGTATTTCATTAACACATTTTTTTTGTTACCTAATAAATATTCTCAGCGTTAAAATTTACTTCACTGGGTACGAACATTGATCGAGGCTTTTGTTTCTAGACATGCGACAGGTTCGTAGTAGCACAGATGCTAGATGCATCTCCCGAATGTTTTATAGAGCGGGAAAGCGTACACTTTGTTACAAAAACCATATGTACGATTGGGACTATAGAGGGCTGTGCGGCCAACCTGCATATTTGTATATAGTGAAATGTGATCTACCAATAAAACATTTGTAGCGCTTCACTCATTAGTTTGTCTGTCTGTCCATCCATTTATTTCTATGATTATAATTTATTAACAAACCATGCATGGGGAAAAATCTGATCCGTTTTTAAGACCCGATCTAACAAAGTATGCACGAACGCTTAGCTCGGGCTAAGCATCCAACACGCCATATTGAATATTCACTATTATATATTCAAAAATATCCATTTTCGTATGCCATTTCCGGCGTGACAATCTCGGCGAGCATCAAGGCACATTGTTCTCGAGAAAAAAATGAGACTTTGTATCTGCACTTTTGAAAATTGCTTTGGTATTGTTCTATAACAAATACAATCTATACCTTCTTGAATATTGTACTGGGTAATCATAGTTAAAAGAACCGAAACATTGTATATACCAAACAGGTTTAAGGGTTAGTTAGCCGTTTTAACTACACTGGGTGTGGCATTAGGGTCTAAACAAGGCATTGGGGTTGAAAAAGCCATCCATTAGGTGTGATATTGAGTTTTTTTTTTTATTTTTTAAGTGTTTTTGTGCCAGGTTTTGTGTCTCTGTAAGTGCAAATTGCAAGTGCGAGTGCCGACATAGTGTCATGTAACAGATGTCATATTCATGTTTGGGACTACATGACATATCTGTGTGGTCATCCTATCAAATGGCAATTTTAAGCAATTTCAACCAGGCCTGTCAAACACAAGCACCTGCGGACCTTAAAGCGCGGTGGTCGTTGCGCAGCGCGTGTTCGAATTTCATGTAAATAAACAATGTATTTTACACGCGTTGTATACGTCGCTATGAGTCCCATATCGAACAGGACGCGGCACGACCAGGGGCGTCGATCCATTCTGAAAAGTGAGGGGGACACTTTTGTGTCCGCGTAAGCGGCCAATGTCCGCGCTTGCGCGAACAAGGGGTGTCTGAGAAGGGGGGACTGTCCTACGTTCCGACATCTCTATGTTCCGACACCCCTATGTTCCGACACACAGTATACTTGCGTCAAACTTAATCTGACTAGCCGTGCGTGACCTTTTACTACCTTGATATGACCAGGATGTCCTGTGGGTTAATACTGGAAATCCAACTGTAGTGTAGTCCGGCCACGATGTTCGAAAGTCCGTGAAGGCGGGATCTTGCATAATGTTATCGGATAATTATCAGAGAATTATCAAACAATGTTGCCCATTGTATCATTCTAATAGTTCGACAATTATTTGACAATATCCGTGTCAGTTGGATGTGGTTCCAACCTTAAATCCTCCGATTGCTTAACTATCGAAGTTTTAGATCGATAATTATCGGAGAATTATTTTACCTTTTTTATGAATGTTGTACTTCGATATTCATCAGTCGCGGAATTGCAATGTTGCCGTTTACATCCGGTAGCACCTTTCCAAGTTTATCTACATATTAATTAAAATCATTTATATATTTATTTATTATGCGAGAGATGAATAGGCACTGCATTTAGCATTCCGTAGTGTTTGCATAAGTGTTTGAGATTGCCAAAAATACAAAGGTTTCACACTATCTCTTTCCATTCCA